GAAGTGACGCCAAACATGACAAACACGAGTTGTCCTTCTATATAACAGACTGAACTAACGAGCGGTAACAGACAAACGATCGAATTTCATTTCACTGATAATTCCGTTGAAGTTGAAAAGTTATTATATGGGACGGTGAGAGGGTATCTCACAATGATCTCTGTGTTAAAATTATATTTGGGATGTATTTAACGAGCTCTATCACATATTTTATAATGACTGACACCAATATTGTCCTTTAAACATATTATCACTGTATTATTAGATGTTGTATAATCTATTTTTGTATGGATTTACATTCATGTATATATGCTTTTCCTAGTGGATGCTTATCTCAGTCGGATGCAGAATAGAAGGATGTTACACCCGATTTCATTTCCAAATGGATGGATGTAATATGCAAATCTGTAAATTGAAAACAGATTTTACTTAAAGCCAAATTATGCCAGATCAAAGATTAAAATAGATATGAAATGAAATGGGGTTTAAATGACCTACTTTTCTGCACCCAAAAGAATCGATCAACTGAAAAGATCAAAAGTACTGTTATTAAAGAACAGAACAATAATTGTCCCCAAAAATTATTTAAATCAATAAATTCTAACATAATAACAGTTTGAAATTTACATTTGTTTCTGTTGAGTCCACACTGGAAAGCAGAAATAACTGAAAAATATTGTACAAATTTCACATTTCTAAAATCGTAACTCGAACACACATCAAAAAAGCCAACAAAATGCTGCAGTTGATTAAGATCACTTTTTAACCTACTCCGAATGAGGCATGTATTATATCAAAATATAACATGCACATGGTATATATTATGAATAAAAACTATTCCTTTCATGCAATAAATTAAACACACATGTATACAAGCCCTAGTAACACATTGAGATGTTTTATATAAATTCTATTGAGAAGAACTACGATATCCTTGTAATTCCTACAGTAATTTGCCGCTCTTTTAGTATACTGAGCGAGACAAAGTCGACAGAAGCATATCATATGATAGATATTTATATAAACTATAGACCTCCAATTGCTCTTGTTATGATTTCAATAAGCGCTGGAATAACATATGGAATATTTAGTTACTTGCTAGGTTTGCTGTTATAAGCAATTCCGGTGGTAAAGAAAAAGGAAAAAACACACAGAAACATTGCATTACATGAAAGTTGTGATTTTTGACAAATCAACATACTTCAGTGGAAATATTTTTTGTGGATCTGTGTTTGTGCTGGTGTGGTATTGAGTGAATTTTTGTTACTTTCGGTGAAGATATAACAGGATGTATGGACACTATAAATATTGATATAACCTATGAACTTTTTATCCTAAATATTTAAAATATTTGTTTCATAATCTTCATACTTCTTTTGTACAAAATAACCCTGAGCAAGCAAGACATAGATATTTGAAATACGTTGGTGTCTAATCATCTATAAGAAATGAAGCAAATTCATACATGCCAAATTTCTTGTACACACAATTATTTTATGTTGGCATATAAAGAGAGAGAGAGAGAGAGAGAGAGAGAGAGAGAGGGGGGGGGTTAACATCCACTGACACAAACAAGGTGATTAACATATGGTTCAATTTTATTTCAATAATTGGCTTGCGCATAGGGGGTCTTTAGCAGTGACAGGGAACTGGAGGACCCAGAGAAAACCCACAATAACAGACCTTATGATCTAAAGTGAGTGCATTAAACCATGTTGGCATATAGAAGTGTAGTCTGTGAAGTACATGAATGTTTATCAGAATCTGTGTCAGATGTGTAAAGGTTTTTGAAATGTTTAAAAAATGTAATCTAAGATAATCACACATTCGATCCAGTGTTTGCCATATTTTTTTCTCTGTAGGGAAATCATGGAATAATGTCTTCAAGAAACATTTTTCTTTAATTAGTAGCAGAAAATTGTAGTCTTTTTCATTTAATATATTTAGCTAAATCATGGACATTGATGGGTTTACTTCCAGTTCCTGGAACAGGTTCTATTAGATGTATGATCACTGCAACCTCAACAATTAATTTCTATACATATATAACTTCAGTATGTTTCAACTAAATCAAATTATAAATAATTCTTTTTTACTATAAAAAAAATAACATTTAGCAAATCAAATTATTTTTAGTTCTTATGTAAAATTTAAGCTCATAGATCGTGACTCTACCTATAGACAGCCTTTAGGCTGAAAACAATGTCCTTTAAGTAAAGAGAGACTTATGATATTTCCTGCTGATTTATAAAATATAGCCACAACAATTAGATTTTCTGTTAATCGGGAACACCTGTTAAAATTATCCTTCTTATTTCTTCAGGAAAAAGACTAATTTAAAAACTAAAAGTACTTCGTTGTGCTGTTCAACAGCTTTCAGTTCTAAATTTTTAAGTTTTGAAATTTTAAACAAAACATTTTTCATGTGATTCAAGATATTTATTTATTAAGAAATGATATGAAATGAAATAAAATGGAATGGGATTTAACGTCCTACTCTTCTGCTCCCAACGGGCTAATTAAGACAGGCATATGCCATACAATGTGTTCTGAGGGAAATTTGGCCTGGACAGTGGCACTACAGCCTAAACTTATATCAAATTCCAACTGCTAATGTGTACATGACTATGACTAAGTATATGTCTAAAGTCTGTTACGTCCATGTTCGTAAGTGAGATTATCAAATAACTGGTCTGATTCCAATTTCTAACTCGTCTGAAACCAATTCTCTTTCAGTAGATAGTTGGAATTAAATAATTGGGATCAAAGATCACTACTCTAGATTCGGTCAAGCAGTGGCAGTACTCACTAATTTTTCGCTAGGTAGACAATCAAGTCTACGATGATGTTTAAAAATTGTCCATGTGACCTGCTTTAAGTCACCTGAAAAATTTTAAAAAGTCATCGTTTTAAATAGTTATATCTTTTGTATTTTGAAAAAAAAATAAATGCATAATCATTGGTTCATTGGTTCCATTTTATATGTTAACTGATTTTGTGGTATAACAATCTGAAGACAAAGCCAGTGTTAAGTTAACACAGTTAGCCAAAAATTAAACTACAAGTAATAATTATATTAATAGGTTACAATTCTATGGAATACAATTACTGTTATTACTACAAGTGGCTTCTCTAGTCTTTGTCACCAATTGGACTAATGAAGACAGACATACAACATGCAGTGTGGTATGAGGAAAATTTTGCCAGGAAAGAGTTTCTTACTACTCTTCACCGAATTCAAACTTTCAAAGGCTTTTACATACCATCTGAATGACTAGACACTGTTCCTTGCCAGGCCCTCTGTCCTACACAACTTACAAAGAAAAACCACAAAGGAAAATCCTAAGCAACTTTCTGGACCAATGCTAGGATCAAACCCCCAACTACTAAAGTCAGTGTCTTACTCACTGAACCATCAGGCTCTTTCTGATCTTTTAATCAAAAAAATATAATCATATAGAGCTTGTCCCACTACTGATCAAAATAATACATCTGATCAAGCCAATCCTGCACCTTATTTTGACCTAAATCAAGGAGGTTTTGCTCCCCAAAACACCAAAGATCCATAAAATATCTGCAAGACGTTATTAAAACAAAAGTACTAAATATTGTCTTCAAGATCAGAAAATATATATGTGGAAGATAACTGTCTGTCTATAAGAATAACACAATACTTATGTGTTTCATATATCCATTAAAAAATGGTGGCTCTGTTTGAAACAATAATATAATTGTTTAAACTCTTAAGATACACATGAAGTTGACCTTTCGATGTTCTTAATCTACGATTCTGATTCAATTTACATCTTTAATTCTGTCAAAACGAATTTACAGGAAATAAACTCATTTTTTATTATGCCAAGTTAAGGAATGATTTCCAGTGAAATAAAACAGGTATGTGAGAAAATTGACTTTACTTGAAACATTCACTCTGCATTATTACATAAAGTGTTTTGTTGTATTTAATTATTGAAACCTGGTGTCTATTTCTTGTAAATAATGTTACTAGGGTGTTATTCTTCAAATTCAATCTAGTTACCATCGATTTTAACTAAGACATTTTTATATGTGAATTTAGGCATTAATATGGTTTTCAACAACAGTTAAATAAAATGACTAAAAATTAAATTATGAAATACTGCATATTAAGGTTATAAAAATTACATTTTATTCAGTGACAACAAATGTTATTGTATATTTATAAAGGGGAGATATTTATACAGAAAATGAATACTAAAAAAGCACTTTGAGATTTAATCTGAAGATTGGAAGCATTTAGCCTGAAGCAACTGGTAAAGAAACATTTCTTGTTGGTGTAATATGATATGACCGACTTAGGAAAGAAAATTCCTGGCACTAAAAATTCACCAGCTTAGAAAATTATGAAGTTAAACTCCTATTTTAATTCATTACACAGGCCCTATATTTGATAGTGCCATGATGCCAGTTATTTATTCATGGAGCTTAATGTCGGCTTCCACCACCATTGATATCATAGAAAACCCCCATGGTGCTATAACACATCTTCTTCTACAAGTATGAACAAAACACATTGTTTAGGGTAAATAATCTATATGGCAAGAAATAAGCAGATTAATTTATCATGTGACCTTGTATTAATCCTTGCTCCTGACAGGTGATGAAGATGACAATTTGATACATCTAATTAGATGCTAATTAGTAAGGTTATACAGTAACTTAAATCTTTATTAGTAAGCTTATATAAAGGTAATTAGATGTAGAAATTCATCAATAATAATAATATACTATTTAATTATCAGTTTTATCATTTTGTAAATATCACAATATATAAAATACACCTATACATATTTATTTTTAATTCCAGCTATTACATATATAAATACACACAGGTTAAGAGACTGCCAGGAATTGTTTATGTTGATATCCACAGTAACAACAATATCATATACCTTTGTATGTTTATTCTAGATAAGATGAAATCATACAAATATCATGGTTCATATAGTTAAACTACATACCTGTAACAAGTGCTGGTCTCTCTCTCACATGCACACATCTGCTGTATAGTAATGGACTGAAAGAGAAACAATAACGAAAATAAAAGGCATACAAATTATCATTCAAATCTTTATATTTATTGTTTTGAAGTATTTTACAATAATTTTTGCTCTTTTTAGTTCAGTTTTGTTATAAATGCATTAAAGTAGCTACATATAAAATATAATAATTCATTTGCTCAAAATCTGCAATGAAAGCGGCAGATAGTCCTTTTTTTTAAATTTATGATTCCCGCCCCACCCATTGCCCCCACATGCTAAATAGATTAAAGTAGCTAAAGAAAAATATATAATTCATTTAATCAATATCAGCAATGAAAAGAGAAGATAGTTCTTTTTAACTGTGAAGGCTCCCTCTCTCCTCCCACTCCACGATTCCCCTATGTTAAAGAATCATGGGCCAGTTTCTGGGCATTTAGGATTCATTAACTATAGGCATATTTGGACTGGAGGATGTTTCATTATTGACTTATAGCACTGCAAACTCGTCTCTGGGAATTATCTGGATTTGACATTTTATTGTCAACCAGACATGGTATTACAGATGACTGAAACAGAAACCTTTGGTCTTCATTATTTCAAATAGATTTGTAGGGGCTCTATTGTCTAAAACCTTAAACAATGGTGTGTATACCCCCTAAGGACCCATGCCCTCCAACCATGTTGGATGAACTAACATTTAATCCGCCTTTGGAGTCTTAATTCCTCACTTGAAACTAAATATTGAATTAATTGAATGTTAGTTCTTGGTGTTACATGATTTAAGAGGAATCTGGGTAAAATCCAGCCCTAACCTCTATAATTGTATGTATTGTTTATATAAACATGTGTCAAACCCATTTATAAATAATTGCCTGTTCACCATTTTTTTTTAGCTAACAGATTCAGCTTTGTAGTTTTTTCCTCCCATTTCTTAATAATGAGAACTACATTACAAGAACAAAATTTTCTGAAGACGTAAAACAAAATTGTTGATTTTTTTTCATTAAACAAGAAAACTCTAGCAAGTTAAAAATAGTTCCAAGTCACTGACATATGACACTACTCAGCTACAAAAGAAAATTGTTAGAGGAAGTTCTATGAAAAAAAGATAATTTGGCTTAGTTCAACAAGAAGACCTGCTAATAGCGAAGGCAGGTGTTTACCACATCTGACGTCATCTTTTAACGGAGATCAATTATTGACCACTGTGTATACAGCCTTGTTTATCCCCTTATTTTACACGACCCGATGTTTGCTTCAGATCAATCCAAATTTGCCCGACATGGTCAATGGGTCTGTGAACAGTGGAGAAATCAAACTTTTTCAAACAGTTAACAGTTAAAATATGATCCCAAACAAAAACATGCTTTATTGGTAACGTGTTTTTTGTATTTCAGCATATTATAACTATGTTATTGAACTTTAGGTTCCTGTGAACGATAGATACTATCTCAGCTGTAGTAATTAATCTTCAAGATCTAGCATTCAGATGAAATGTTTCTTTAAAAAAAGCACTTAAAGCATGTAATTTATGGATTTGGTTGTTAAGGACTTGAACAATATTTATTCAAGATCTAACATTACAGAATTAGCAGAATTATTGAATGAAATGATGTGAAAAAACAGTCAGGCTTACATTAGGCAAATGGAAAAACATAGTAAGCGTTTTATATGGCACATGATACAGTTAGCAGTATGCAAAAAAATACAGAACAGAACGATCCTTTTATATAAAAATAGCTATTTGATTGATTGTTATGTAAGAATAATATCTGGAAGCATAATGTGCCAAATAAGAACTCTGCCAATCTAAATTCATCTTTAAACAGTAAAGAAAAGCTTGGGTTCATCCATACATTTGTTTCAAATGAATAATAAGACATTTAAGCTGCTCCATATGGACTTTTCTTTCAATATTTTATAAATATATAATTCATTACCATGGAAACCATAGATTATATACAGTGATTTCTTGTGACATTTAACAGACACTGTCATGTTAGGTCTGTATGACAAGGCAATCCATGTCTTCATGTAATTTTATTCAAACAAAAATCAAATCATGGAACAGACACCTATACATTTGTTGGTTTTTTTTAGACCTTGGTTGTGACATCAGGATCTGGATTTATATCTCTGAGCACCTTAAAAAATGTCTTTCTTTTGGCCTGTGTATGCTCATGTAAATAGTTTATTTTGTTGGTTCGGGTTTATTTGGTGTGGCTTAAGGTTTAACCCAAATTTTTAATTTATGGTACCTAGGTAATTAACAGAATTCAACTCCCTGTCAGCCTTGAAAATTAAATGTTGTCACTAAAATGCGAAGCCATGGTGCAGAATAGTTCAGTCTGTTTCCCCTTGTCAGAGGTGCAGGATGGAGGGTCTAGCCAGGAGCAGTGTCTAGTTGTTCAGTTAGCACTGAAAACCGAGGTCCTATGTACACATTGGCATATACGTAAAAGAACCTTTGATAGTTAGAATTTAATGAAGAGGGAGCAGAAATGCTACTGTTTGGGATGAAATGTTCCTCAAAGCAGACTACATAACCTATATCCATCTTTAATAGTCCAGTTAGTAATCATTTCTTTGCAACACCATGGTATATGACTTATAGAACCGGTAGTGTTATTGTCTGATAGTACAAAAAATGAGATAACATCTGTTAATACTACATACAACATAGTATATTACTGATGCTATTACAATATACACTTCCTATAATAAACAAACAAAATCAACATCCTGCTCAAAACATATTATCTCTACATAAAACACCAGACAACAATAAAACTATATGTACTTACATCTTTTTATCTCTTTCTTAATGATGCAGAGAAAAAAAATATACAAAACCTAATGCTTGTTCATCTGATCATTACTAGCCAGTATATTAACTAAATAATACACAACTATACATAAAATACACGAGAGGAATTGTAATTTATATCTCAATGTACATTTCGGTTTGTACATAACAACAATTGACTAAATACACAACTATAAATGTAATACACATGAGAGGAATTGTAATTTATATGTCAATATACATTACAGTTTGTACATTACAACAATTGACTAAATACACAACTATACATGTAATACACATGAGAGGAGTTGTAATTTATATTTCAATATACATTTCAGTTTGTACATTATGTACAAAAGATCAAATACACAAAATACACAGAATGCACAGGAGAGCTATCAGTAAAGGAAATGCAATTTATACACTTTGTTTTGTATATTACAACAATTGAATATATACATAGATCGCCAATAAAATACAATTACATAGTATATATAGAGGCCTAGATGGATGTATTCTGTTGATCATCATGTATTGACTCTATTTAAATATTTTTAAAAATGTCATCTTCATTAAAATTCATAATGCTTGGGTTTGTTCAAAATAAAATATTCTATTATCTAATGTCTTGTGCTTGTAAATAATATTTTTTTTACATATCTACAGAGTGGATCTCTGTATACTGGTAACTACCAAGGCTAGCAACGATAAATAATTAGTATCGAACAACTTGTACTAATTAGACAGGTGGGATAGATCTATATTATCTGACATCTCACAGTATCCGACTAAACATCTATCATATTAAAGTCACAAATTATAAATTTTCAATTTTAATAATGGAGTTTCTTTTGTCAGTCCATTCCTTTCTCAACTGGATTTCCATAATATATATTTTATTGTAAATATTCATTGGGTTAAATCTTAGCATTTTTACATCATGGAAGTAAAATCTAGGTATTGATCTATTTGAGGATATTCACAAAACTATACATGAAGCTAGCACTTGTTAATTTCAATTATATCAATCTGATTAACAATCTGGTGAAAACACAGATCCTATTTCGTTTCGTTTTTATAGTTCAATATTTCGTTTTATTTGTCTTTACTACACTTGGATCTGGAAGAGTTGTTATTTAACTCGTGTTCTGAATGGTGTCAGGGATCAGCCAATGAAACGGTCTGTTACGGCGAGCTTTAGGCATGTTTTTCACGGAACTGTGGGCAATCCACTAGTAACATCAATGCTGATTGGTTAATCAAATGTCTGATGTCATAGGGTCATAAGTCGGTCTTTTGACCCCTGACGTGACCTATCGCTATAACTTGTCAGATCTTCATGTAGTGTAGGCCATCGAAAGTATAAAAAAACGAAACGAAATATACATCTGTATTTGAATCAGACAATCTGATTAAAATACAGATGTATATTTCGTTTCGTTTTTTTATACTTTCGATGTCCTACACTACATGAAGATCTGACCAGTTGTTTTGGGAGGTCCCGTCAGAGGTCACATGAGTGGCTTTTGACCCTATGATGTCAGACATTTGATTAACCAATCAGCATTGATGTTTCTAGTGGATTACCCACAGTTCTGTGCACCTCACGCCAAAAGCTTGCTGTAACAGACCGTTTCATTGGCTAATCCCTCACATCATCCAGAACACTTAATGATAACAACTCTTCCAGATCCTAGTGTAGAAAAGACAAGTAAAACGAAATTTTGAATTATAAAAACGAAATAGGATCTGTGTTTTAATCAGATTGCAATTATATGTTAAATCCCTAAATTATGCACCAAATATTTATTTTATTTGGTATTACCATATACAATATACACAGACACTGCACCAACAGGGGTGGGGCCACAATTTTTAAATGATTAAAATTAATATTTAAAGGGGTGGGCACAAGAGCTATATTTTGATATCTGATACTATCAAGGAGGGGTCATGTCCCTCATCCACATAACCCACTGCACAAAGTCGTAATGATTCATAAGACTACAGACTATAGATAACCTCCATAAACAATTCTTCATATTCAAACATGTCATTTTTAATTAGGCTAAGTATGTTATATGAACATATAATAGAAAATTACAAGGATCATTCATTAAATTATTGATTTATTATATAAATCACTGAATTACAGGAACAAACAAACTTATTTTAACATTGATATTATAGAAGTACTTTACAATCATATTTTTGGTACATGTCCTTAGA